GAGGTAAAAGCAAGCACACGAACGCTATGGACGCGCGATGCGCTGCCACAAGCCAGCTTCCCGCAAGATCGGTCCAGAGTGGGAGGGGACGGAGCTGGGCGGGTGATGGACCACCAGAGCACTGCTCCAGCCTTCCCTCAGCCCTGGGTCTGCTGACCACACAGGAGCACGGCAGACCACACAGGAGCGCGGCAAACCACAAAGGAGCAAGGCAGACCCCAAATGAGCACGGCAGTCCACACGTTCGCACGGCAGACCGCACAGGAGCACGGCAGACCGCACATGAGCACGGCAGACCAAGAAGGAGCACGGCAGACCACACAGGAGCACGGCAGACCACACAGGAGCACGGCAGACCACACAGGACACGGCAGACCCCACGGGAGCACGGCAGACCACACAGGAGCACGGCAAACCACACAAGAGCACGGCAGACCATACAGGAGCACGCCAGACCACACAGGAGCACGGCAGACCACACGTTCGCACGGCAAACTCCACAGGAGCACGGCAGACCCCAAAGGAGCACGGCAGACCACAGGAGCACGGCAGACCGTCTTCGAGGCCTCTTGGGCCGTCTTGGGGCCCTCTTGGAGCCATCTTAGCCGTCTTGGAGGCCATCTTGGCCGTCTTGGAAGACATCTTGGGCGTCTTGGAGGCCTCTTGCGCCGTGTTAGGGCCCTCTTGGGACCGTCTTGGGGACTTCTTGGGCCGTTTCGGGGCCATCTTGAAGGCCTCTTGGGCGATCTTAAAGCGATCTTGGGGGCCTCTTGGGCCGTCTTGGGCCGTCGGAACGCGGCAGGCCATCATTTAGTCTGTTCTGTTGCGTTTATGGGTTTCTCTGACGTTCTCGCCAATACGGTCTCTGACGCACGTGGTGGATAAAAAACGGCGCTTCCCGTTCTCGTCCGGTCAGGTTCCCACAAGCAGCGATATCGCTCGAGACATCCTCCGAATATGGAGGTGTTGGAGGCTATCGTTTAAGCCGTTTTCTGTAAACAAGTGACATGTTCGTTCGAAACATCTTCAGAACATCGGGATGTCGAAAAATGTCAAGGATTCTGTTGTGCATGAGAATTAGCGTTTCGCCCGAGGCAACCTCGAACAAATGATTTGTCAGAAAAGCTGTTGTACCACTTCTCATATAAACCATTGCGCTTTCGCTCGGGACATCCTCAGGAAATCGGGAGGGGCGCGGCAGACCGAAAAAAGGAGCACAGCAGAAATTGATCATTTCGCTGGGGACATCCTCAACAAATGAGATGTTCGCAACATCGCCTCCACATCGTTTTCGAAGTGCTTCAAGACGAAGAAATGAGAGCCCCCAAAGGAGCCCAAGATGGCTCCAACAGCGCCCTGGAGTCTGCCGAAAATGACGAGTTATCTAGTCTTTCTGCCATGTTCCTGGTCTTCTTCTGGTTTGCTCCTTCGCTCTTGGGGCCTATTCTGCCGTGTTTCTTAGCTCTTGGGGTCTATTCTACCGTGCTCCTGGTCTTTTTCTGCCGTGCTCCTTCGCTCTTGGGGCTTATTCTGGTAATTTTCTGCCGTGCTCCTTGGCTTTTGGGGTGTATTCTGCTGTGCTCCTGGCCTTTCTCTGCCGTGCTCCTTCGCACTTGGGGCATATTCATCCCTGCTCTTCAGCTCCTGGGGTCTATTCTGCCGTGCTCCTGGTATTTTTCTTCCGTGCTCCTTAGCTCTTGGGGCCTATTCTGCCGTGATCCTGGTCTTCTTCTGCCTGCTCCTTTGCTTTTGGGGTCTATTCTGCCGTACTCTTTTGCTCTTGGGGTCTATTCTACCGTGTTCCTGGTCTTTTTCTGCCGTGCTCCTTCGCTTTGGGGGTTTATTCTGCCGTACTCCTTTGCTCTTGGGGTCTATTCTGCTGTGATCTTGGTCTTTTTCTGCCGTGCTCCTTCGCTCTTCGGGCCTATTCTGCCGTGCTTCTGGTTTTTTTCTGCCGTGCGCGCCCAGAAGCTCCGCCAAAACGACCATCGCGACGATCCGCACGGCAGAATACAGGAGCACGGCAGAACACACAGAGCACACAGAGGCACGGCAGAACACAAGCACGGCAGAACAGGAGCACGGCAGAACACACAGGAACACAGCAACACACACCCCGCACGCACGCCGACACGCGCGCCACGGCATACCTTTGCGGCGCAACAACAACAGAGCATATTCCACATGCTTGGTGGACTAAAGCGACGCTTCCCGTTCTTGTCCGGTCAGGTTTTATCGTTCGATGTGCTGTTGAATGCTAGATTGGGCCCATCTGGGTTCGGCCAGGATATGGCCAAGCAAAAGTTTATGATGTTCTTTGGGGTGCGCGGTGCATGCCTGAAGGAGATATTGAGAAACAGGGGCAGGGTGGATCTCCTGGGCTCCATCAAGGAACAAGTTCGATACCTGGTGCCCACGTGGTTCTTCGGGATACCGCGCGCGATGAAATTGATAGACGTATCACCGGTTCTTGGGTCTCATTCAGATATGGGTTCAGTGTGGCAATTTGAGGTGCCTAGGAAATTCAAGCGTTTACCATTGCAGGGCTTCGCCTACAGCTCTCTCTTGAACGGCCTCTAGGCCTTCGTGCTGACCGAGTCTGACTATTCTCGTCTGGGGGCCGCTCTTGCTCGATTCTGTCGAATTGCGATGGCTGGAAAGGCCGCTGACTGGACGGGAAGTCACCCGCGCGCGATGACGAACGTCGAGCTCTTGAGATTCTGGAAGCTTTCGGTCCCATCCCTGGAGTTACGTATTCGGCGTGTTCGATTGGTTCAAAGCTGGGCCCAACGGCCCCTCCACCATCTTCAGGTTCTCGGTGCTCTGTTCGGGGAACTTCCTCTTGAACAATTGGGTCCTCTCGAGGCGTCGGGGGGATTGCATCCGTCTGCGTGCCCCAGACCTCCGCCGCATGGCAGAGAAGCTGGGCTGGGATATATGGATCGAGGCAGCACACCGTGCCCTGCGAACTGGAGGAGACGCCGCGCGGACCTGGCGACGCTCAGTACCCGTGGGAATTCTGGTTCCCCCCCGAGGACAACCCAGGGGGACATTGCGAGACATCATTGAGCACCCGCAGGGATCTCATGAACCACCTCATGGGCACCCATGGGCTCCGCAGTGTATGCCATGTTGCTACTCCTACCAACGTATCTGTTCACTGCAGACAAGTATTCGCATGCAAGGCAAACGCAGCAAAACATGTGATGGGTTCTACGTTTCGTGGACATTGCCAAACAGTGGCCCCCTCTTCCTTGAAAGCGGTTGCCCCAGTGTCCTCCTTCGCCTGCCCTGTCTGCGAGTTCGACGGCTCGAGCCTCGACGATTTCTGCAATAACCTCGGCGCCCGCCTCCCGTTTCGGCCGCGCCCATGCGTTGAAGATGCCGGATACCGAGCCGAGCCAGATGGTCGTGGGGCCCCCATTTTAGCACAAACCCCCAGAGAAGAAACGCCCGAAGGGTCCAGGAGAATAAGGGCGTAGAGGGCGCCGGCAGAAAGGTGGAGGCAAAGGCTTAGTCGGGAACGCGTCGTAGGCGGACGACAGGTTGACCCTGTCCCTGGCTCGCGAGGTCGCGGACCTCAAGAGCGCCGTGTACTTCGGATGCGAGGTGCCAGACGCGACGGTCGGCCCGGCAGCAGCGGGCAAAGAAGCAGTCGCCAGGTACGGCGCCCAGAGCGCCGGGGTGAAGAAACTCGAAAAAGATGGCCGGCAAGTTAACCGCAAAGTTCGGCCCCCCCCTGCGTCCGCGTGGCGATGGAGTCTATTCTGAGCGGCGCTGGCAAGCAGCTGCCAGGCGGCTCAAAGCAGACGGGGATCATGCTGCGCGACGAGATGAAGGAGCGCTGCGCCAGGGGGATCTTCGCGACGGGGATCAGCTCAGACGTGGGCAGGGTGATCAGGTGCTGAGGGCGGAGCAGGGCGAGAAGCGCAAGGCCATCATGTCGTGCAGCTTCCACCGAGATGCGCGACTCGGCATCGCTCACTCGAGGCGGCTGGAGCAGTCGATGGAATCCGAGGGGGGGGTCCTCCTGGCAGGCGCGGCCCCGCGCGGGCCACTCGGCGCCTGCCACTCGAGAGGGAGTTGGCGGAGGAGGTCGGCCCCGAGGAGTAGGTGTAGGCAGTGGCAGCGGTCAGCAACCACGCAGTAGCACCAACCGCAATACTTACATAGAGCTCGACATCATAGATGGGCCCAGCGTGCATTCCCAGCAGGCCCTGCTGGGGGCCACTCGTTCGTGCTTTCTCCCGTCCAGGGCCTCGGGGACCTCGGGGGCTTCTTCGGGGAGCGAACGATTTCGTGAACTCGTGGCCCGTGGCGTGATCCCATCAGCAATAATGAATCGACTTGCCCTGAGCACATATGCTGCGGCACTTCTTCCGGGTCCTCACCCAATCACTCCGATTATATACGCCCCTGAAGCTAAGAAAGGTTCCAAAGGCGAGGGGGTGGATCGGGGGGCGGCGAGTGGGCCTGGGTGAGGGGGTCCCCGTGCCATGGGAGCCTGCGCCCCACGGGCCGCGTGCCCAAAAATGGGGTTGCAGGACTATGGCCAGTGCCGCTCTCAGCGGAGCGCGCTGGCTGTTTCGCGATGTCATGGGGGTGCAGAAGCAACCCGACTCAGAATCCGATCTCTGGAAATAAGCCTGGCACAGCGAGGTGTGGCAGTATGACAGAGGTGACGGCAGGACTCCATGAGTTATTCATTCATTCATTCATCCCTTCCCTCCCTCTATCTTCTTCCCTCCCTCTCCCTCGCTAACTCTATCGCTTTATCTCGCCACCCTTCTCCCCCCTCCCCGCCCGCGCTGCAACGCGCACCTCGGAAGTCAACCGTGCCGCGCGTCGGCCTGCAGACCGCCACTTGGGAATCCTTCCCCCCGCTCTCTCGAAATAGTGATGGCCATGGTGGACGCATGGTGTAATTTGGCCGTCCGTCCCAAGCATCTTGGTTCAGGCAGACTTGGAACATCTTCAATTTTGCTCGTATTCCACAAACGCGGAAGCATGCAACCGTCGGGCCATGTTCCGTAGGTCGACGGTCCAGATGGCATTTTGGACCGCGTGGTCCGTTGTCGCAGTCGTTCTCAGTCTCAGCGTACCCACGGCGACCTCGATCGGTGTGAGCTTCACGCTGAAGTGCGCAGATGACGACGCCCAAATTATTGCGCTTGCGAGCGGCATCGGCGTCAAGATTCGTGGTTGTGCTGAGGTGTAACCTTACTGCAACGTCGAGGCCTGTCCCGACGCCGCTCCCAGCGCTGGCGTTCTCATGTTGAAAGTATCATGTTGTCGAAGGGTGGTTTTATGTCTCCTAGGTCCGGCCGTGGGCCATACGTTTAACTATGCCGTTCCCAGACGTGCAGTGCAGCTGCTCCAAATTTGTTCGATGCGTGGGCCCTGGAGCGGGCCGTTTTCTGACGGCCCCGAGGCCTGGCGAAGGACCCCTGGAGGCCGAAAGCAGCCCAAAACCTCCCATTCCGTGGCCACTGTGGCTCAAGGTGAACGCGTCGCGTTGGATCGTCGCTACTGAACATTCATTGCTACATTTTTTGGCGTTCGTCATCACAAACATGGTACACCAAACTGATATTTCCCGCGGCATCCGCGCTCGCTTACATTGTTGGCGCCGATATGCAGCTCATGCAGATGTCAGTGAATGGGTCGGACGGTATGGACGCCGCAGAGCTACGGACTGAAGCAGTGTGTGAGCTGGGATGCACGCGTTGTGGATATAACTGGTACACCATGCACTGGAATTCTGGTAGTCCGACTATTCATTGGGGCCAGTATTGCAATTGTTGCGGTGGAACCCAAGGACAGCAAGACGTGTGCAAATACGTTTGCACGGGACGGACGACGCCGTACCCGACGCCGTACCCGACGCCGTACCCGACGCCGTACCCGACGCCGTACCCGACGCCGAAGCCGACGCCGTACCCGACGCCGAAGCCGACGCCGAAGCCGACGCCGAACCCGACGCCGGAACCGACGCCGAACCCGACGCCGAACCCGACGCCGTACCCGACGCCGAAGCCGACGCCGAACCCGACGCCGAACCCGACGCCGTACCCGACGCCGTACCCGACGGCTTTCCCGACGGCCTACCCCACGCCCTACCCCACGCCCTACCCCACGCCCTACCCCACAGCTTTCCCAACGCCTTACCCCACGGTTTTCCCGACGCCTTACCCCACGGCCGTCCCGACGCCCTACCCGACGGCTTTCCCGACGGCCTACCCCACGGCTTTCCCGACCTCCTACCCGACGTCCTTCCCGACGCCCTTCCCGACGCCCAGCCCGACGCCCAGTCCGACGTATCCTTTGGGTTGGCCGACGCCAAGTCCAACGTTTCTTCCCGCAGCTCCCATGGCGGGCGGAGCCGCCGGCGGCGTGGCTGCCACCGGCGATCCGCACCTTCAAAACGTTCACGGCGAGCGGTTCGATTTAATGAAGCCAGGCAAACATGTTCTGATACACATCCCTCGTGGAGTGAGCGCTGATGACGCATTGCTTCGGGTGCAGGCCGATGCGCGTCGATCGGGTGGAAATTGTTGGGATATGTATTTCGAAGAATTGAACATTACAGGCTCTTGGGCAGAGGCTAAGCAAGTTGGAGGGTATCACTACAGCGTACGGCAAAACGCCGTGACGATTCCGCAATGGGTCGTTGTTGGTCCTGTCGAGCTGAAAGTCGTCCACGGACGCGCAGAGAGTGGCAACTTGTACTTGAATGTGCATGTGAAGCATTTGGGGCGATCAGGATTTGCCGTCGGAGGCTTGCTTGGGGAAGACGACCACAAAGAGGTGATGACTCCCCCAGCGTCTTGCACCCAGCGCACGAATTTGCTAAAAGTGGTGACGAGTGGCCAGGCACCTTCCTCCGAGTCGCCACTTGCAATAGCAACCTTCGCGTGACCATGCGGGATGCTTGAGAAGTGGGTATATGACAAGCAAGTGCGCCCTTTCGGGCGACGCATGCGGCAGTGCTTTCCTGCGCTTAGGAGAGCTGGCTCTTTTACAGGGCTTCTGAGACTTCTGTGCATGGTTCGCGCCACCTTGCACCACTCTCAGCGGCTGTCTGGCAGCATCTTGTTGCCATTCCGATGCTCCCGTTGCTCGCCGAATCGAGCTGGCGTCCCTGCCAGCCGACCTGCTCCGACCTGCAACGGCTGACAAACAGTGGCTACTTCCCAGGACAGTCGTTCGCTAGCTTCAAGGGGCGGAGACCAAGGGGGCTTGCTTCCTCCGCCCTCCCTCCCCCTCCCCATCCCTTTCCTTCCCAGTCTGCATCCTGTGTCCTCCTTTGACCCTCCGCATGTCAGGCTGCTTGCGCCAACCTCGGCCACCGCGCAGCAGCATAGCGGGGCGTAAATCGAGTTTGCAGCCCGTTCCAGTTCAGTGCCTTGTTCGAGCAAGCGCCGTTCTGGAGTACCCTCTCTTTTTTCTTGGTTGTTTCCGCGGCCGTCTTTGAGACAATGTTTGGGCATCGTAATGTCCTCTTGGGCCGAATCTGAGCCATATTGGGCTGTCCTGGGGCCTTCTTGCATGGCGTTTGGGCAATCCTGGGGCCGACCTTGGCAGCCTTGGGGCGGTTTGTGGCCGTCTTGGGGCTTTTTGTTGGGGGCCTCGTGGGCCGTTTTCGACGGCTCTCAGGGCCTCTTGGACTGTCCTCGGGCCGTGTTGGGCCGGGGTGGGCCGTCCTGAGGCTCTCTCCTTGGGCCGTGTTGGGCCGTCTTGGGCCGTGTTGGACCGATTACGACCACTTCGGACTGTTCAGCAGCTGCTTCGGTCAGATTACAACCACTGGAAACGGACTGATCGCAACCTGAAGGATTCCTGCACACATCTATGTGGAGACCACCGGATTGCAACCGCTCCAAGAGTTTCTGCAGAGCTTCTCTTCTGCAGAGCTTCCGCAGAGCTTCTGCAGAGCTTCTGAGGAGCTTCTGAAGAGCTTCTGCAGAGCTTCCGCAGAGCTTCCGCAGAGCCTAAGCAGGCCCCTCAGGAATCTGCTGATTTGTAGGATCTCCCGGATTTTTTTGGATTCTCTCGGAGGCCTTCTCTGGAATCTGGCAAGGAGTTCTTATGATTGCCTAGGAGGCCCTCTCAGGAATCTGGCAATTGGTAGGATCCCCTGGAATTACTCGGGTTCTCTCGGAGGCCCTCCCAGGAATCGGAGCAATTTGTGGGGCCCCGTCGCATTCGTAGGATTGCATAGGAGGCCCTCTTAGGAATCTGGCAATTGGTAGGATCGTTAAGAGTTCTTGTGGTTCCTCTATAGACCCTCCCAGGCATCTGAACAATTGGTAGGATCCTTGGGAATTTCTAGGATTGCCTAGGAGGCCCTCTTAGGAATCCAGCAATTGGTAGGATCCTTCGGAATTCCTAGGGTTACTTGGGTGGCCCTCTCACGAATCTGGAAATTGATCGGATCCCTGGGAATTCCTAGGACTCCTGAGGAGGCCCTCCCAGAAATTTGGGAAGTGGTAGGATCCGTAGGAATTCTTAAAATTCTTACGGATCCTTCTCACGACTCTGGCAATGAGTAGGATCTTTGGGAATTCCTAGGATTCCCTCGGAGGCCCTCCCAGGAATCTGGGAATTTGTAGGATCCGTAGGAATTCTCCAGTTTCCCGAAGAGAACCTCTTAGGATTTTGGCGAATTCGTCAGGCGAATCACATCGGAATCGTATGCGAATCACATTGGAGTCGTGTACGAATCACATAGGTATCGTATACAGACCGCGTATGAACCGTACACGAATCACATGGGAATCGTATACGGATCATGGCCACGTTCGAGCTCGAGTACACGTGTTTAGCTGAGATCATGATCGGCCGTCGGTGGCCGGACTGGTCGCAACCGCTTCTTCAGATTCTCATTGGCCGGCTTCAGGGAGAAGGGAGTTCAGTGCACCCAGAATCGCTCTTATGATCTCCCTCTCTCTCTCTCTCTCTCTCTCTCTCTCTCCCTTAATCGACATCTTATTGAAGCGACCCAAAAACATCGCAGCCACTTTGGACCGATCGCAATTGGTTGCTCTCAGGAATCCGCTGATTTGTAGGATCTCCTGGAATGTTTAGGATTCCCTTGGAGGCCTTCTCTGGAATCTGGCACATGATCGTCGGAATTCGTAGGATTGCCTAGAAGTCCCTTTCAGGAATCTGGCAAATGGTAGGATCCCTTGGAATTCCTGGGGGTCCCGAAGAGGCCCTCCCAGGAATCTGAGCAATTGGTGGGGCCCCGTCGCATTCTTAGGATTGCGTAGGAGGTCCTCTTAGGAATCTGGCACTTGGTAGGATCGTTAAGAGTTCTTGTGGTTCCTGTGGGGGCCCCCACCAGGCATCTGAACAATTGGTAGGATCCTTGGGAATTCCTAGGATTGCCGAGGAGGCCCTCTTAGGAATCCAGCAAAGGGCAGAATGCTTAGAATCTCGCATGATTCCCTCAGAGGCCCTCTCACGAGTCTGGGAATTGAAGGGATCCCCGGGAATTCCTAGGACTCCTGAGGAGCCCTCCCCCCAGAAATTTGGCAAATTGCAGGATCCGGTGGAATTCTGAAAATTTCTTACGGATGCTTTTTTTAAAATCTGGCAATGAGTAGGATCCTTGGGAATTCCTAGGATTCCCTCGGAGGCCCTCCCAGGAATCTGGGAATTGTAGGGTCCGTGGGAATTCTTCAGTTTCCCGAAGAGACCCTCTTAGGATTCTGGCGAACTCCGCAGACGAATCACATCGGAGTCGTATGCGAATCACATGGGAGTCGTGTACGAATCACATAGGAAACGCATGCGAACCGCATAGGGACCGCATACGAGTCACATGGGAAACGTATGCGGATCATGGCCACGTCGAGCTCGAGTACATGTAGCTGAGATTGTGATCGGCCGTTGGTGATCGGACCGATCGCAACCGCTTCTTCAGATTCTCTCTGGCCGGCTTCAGGGAGTTCAGTGCGCGCAGAACCGCTATGACGATCTCTATCTGAACAGACGCCTTATTGAAACGGCCCAGAAGCATCGCAACCATTTCGGACCGATCGCAACTGGTCGTGATCAGTCCGAAATGGTCGACGATCGGTCCGAAGCGGTTGCGATCGGCCCCCATCGCGGGGCGGAGGGGGGGGCGGCCCAGAGGGCACTGCTGGAGAGCTCTGAGAAAACATGTTTATGCTGTCGTCTTGTTCCTCTAGCGCTCCAGGGGCGGGGGGGCAGTATTTCTCAAGTGGCGTTCAGGCGGTGGCGTTCCGTGCTGCCCTTGCCTCCGCGTCGGGCGAAGGAAAAAACCATGTTGTGCGAATTTCGAGCAGCCCACCAGAGGCTCAGGGGCGGGGAGTGGCAGTCATAATTAACAAGGCGGCTTTGGACATCTGCGTCGCGAGCGCCCACTCCCCCCCAAAACCCACGCGCCGTCGCCAGCGGGGCGCCCGCTTCAGAACTACGCAGGTGGTGACGACTTGGCCGAATAATATCCTGAGCACGTTGCCAGTGCGCTGCG